ACCAAGTCGTTTTGATGCCCAAACACTGCATGAAAGGTATCAAATCCAGACACATCAACAAACATCACAACCACTGGCCTTTTGTAGATTTTTTGCACCAAAATCTACAGATCTGAATACTGTACCTGACCTTATTACTAGTTTTCTTGGAGGTTCAAATCAAATTCAGTGTATTCATGTATGTATTTGAAGTTCTTTTCTTGGCATGAATAGTGTTTCTCATATAGTACATAAAGGTACATATCTGTTCTAACATTTTGGACACGTAAAAATGTATTCTTAGTACAAAACCGAGCTGCTGTTTATGACAGTAACAACATGTGAGGCACCTGTCTCAGTGTTCCTGGAGTGACGCTCACAGCATACAGTATCCACAGAGGAACCAGGAGTGTTGATGAGAGAGTCAAGAATCCTCCGATGGCATAGCCCCACCAGGGGTATTCATAAGTGTTGTTGAATTTCAGTGGGGCATATCTGATCAAAGAGAAGAGAAGTGTGCACTAAAAGAAACACAGCAAAGAGAAAAGGAAGGAAGGCATAAAAACAGATCCAATTATGAGATTACTAATATATATATTACACAGGGAAAACTTAATTCATAATTGGCTTTTGTGTATTTTATTTTGTTTAAAAAAGACATACAACCAAAACTGAGACCTCAGTGTTCAGGCAGAAAACTGAACTTAAATTTGTGTTGGTTTCCACAGAAACCTTACAATTATACTCTACTTAAAGTGTAGAGTATAAATACATTTAGCAACCTTTAGCTGCAATACAGTAACCCATCAATGGTATGAGGTTGAGACATGGACAACCTTCAGGACAGAAGTCTCTGGCAGTTCTCAGATATACTTGTTTGCTAATGAAACCTGAATAAAGTTAGGACGCAGCCATGCCTACATTTCTAATACTTACAGTACAGATAGCTGGTGTGAAGTACTTCCAACAATATTTCATAAAAGGCCACGGTCGATATCCAATCATGTCCTTTATATGATCATAATGTCGATCTGCACCTGAAGAGAATAAGTAGTTAATAAGTATTAGCTATATCAGTTTTAGGCCCTCACAAATTTAGAGAAAACATTTACACTGTAACACAATAGACACTAAATTGCAATTGTTCCAGCAATTTACAACTGTCTGCATTTCAAGGCAACACTTTTGCCTTAACATCTGCATTTATGAAGCTCAAAATGTTTGTTTTTCGTGAAATTGTCTTAAATGTATAAATTAAATAATACAGTGCCTTGCAAAAGTATTCGGCCGGGGGCCGAATACTTTCGCAAGGCACTGTATATTTATTATTGAGGCCATAGTTAAAGGTGATGTTGTACTGGACTACATTGTATTCAAAGGTGTTTCTATATTTTTGTCCTTCCCAGCTATATACATGAGGGTCAGAATATTAGGAACACCTCTGAATATAATTTCACCAAAAACTAAAACACTTTGAGCTCCTCTCTCTCCATGCATGTATATTCCCCCATTACATGTCACTAACTTTGTGTCTCCTCTTTCCCGTAGTGTGTCCTCTCTTGCTCCCTGTACCTTTCTGCAGGTTGCTCTGGCTCTGGAGCTCTATGTTTCAGATGAGCAGTCACCAGTTACATCAACCTGCTCAGTGTTTGATTGTTTGTTGTTTTGTTTGTTGTGTCTTGTTGCTTTTCTTCTTTTGTCTCTCCTCTATCCACTCACCCCAACCGGTCAAGGCAGAAGGCCGCCCACCAAGAGCCGGGGTCTGTCAGAGGTTTCTTCCGTTAAAGGGAGTTTTTCCTCCCCACTGTCACCAAGTGCTTGTTCAAGGAAGATTTTGGGTTTTTTTCCATTCTAATAATAATAATAATAGTAAGGTCTAGACCTTACTTTGTAAAGTGTCCTTTTGTTGTGATCTGACACTATGCAAATAAAATTGAATTGAATTTATAAACACAGATGTTAAGGTGAAAGTGTTGCATTGAGTTGCATACAATTGTACAGGTGTACCTAATAATATGGTTGGTGAGTGTATGTCTGTGAGTTTAACCAAACCAGGGATATAGAACTCGTCAAATTGATCTTCTGACACCCGAGAGGGTCTTGACCATAGGCTGGGCTCCAGTGATTTAAATACTACTTAGCTGTACAGCATGAGTTTATAAAGATGGGCTGTAGCAGATTTTATCTAGTTGAAAGCTTTTCTTACCATAGACCCAGCCAACACACACAGACTCAACAATAGCAAAAACCTGGAGCGTCATCCCGCTGCAGGCATAGTAGTCAAACAACTGGAAAATATAAAGGCCTCCCTACAAATAAGAAGAAACAAAAAAATCTTTCAATGCAAATCAACACAGTGTTACAGTCACACACACAATTAGTCCTATATGCCCATGTAAGATTATGTATCATATACAGCAGAAACAAGGTACATAGTGCATATATTACAGAGGTGCATTGCTTTTATAGATACTGTAACCCTTTGTGGTGGATAAAAATTCAAATACAGTAATTATAGTTTTCTTTAAGTCATCAGCTCTTTTCTTTTCCAGTTTCACCTATAATTATTTATTTTTGTAATTATAAAGCATAAGTTGTAATAATTGCTGTTACATATATTATAAATACATCCTTATTTGATTTTTAGTTTTAAATCATTATTAAAAACTCACCTCTGTAACCATTAGCAGGCCAACAGAGAAACTTCCAGCACTAATGGCAAGAAGAAGGAGTTTTCGGTGACACTTGTTGAGAAAAAATGAGGGATACATGTCGGAGATGGTTGTGACCAACGACTCTTGATATACAAACTGTGGTAATGAAACATATTTTTTGTATTATTTCAAAGAATTGTGTTGTTGTGTACATATACAGTATGTAAAGTGATCCTACCTCGCTATCTATTCCTAGGAAGATGATCATAACAAAGAAGGAAACAGCCCAGAGTTGAGGGAGTGGCATTAAAGCCACAGCACTAGGATAAGCAATAAATGCTAACCCTGGCCCTGCAAAGTTACATGGGAAAATGGTCATACTGTGTCACTCTGGGTTTCTGTTAACCTTTTACTAATTATTATCCTTCCGTACCTGATTCAGCCACCACTGATATATCCACACCTTGCTCCTTTGCCATGAAACCAAGCACAGAGAAGATGGCAAAGCCAGCGACAAAGCTGGTCAAACTGTTCAACAGGCTCAGGAAAAGACAGTCCCTGTAGGCAGAGCACTGAAAAAATTAGTAAACCCGGAAGAAGTATTATTGAGAACAGTCACTGTAGATGAAAAAAAAAATTACAAACCTGTAGCAGTTGTTGTTGTACTTGTTGTAACTTCCTAAAGATATCAGAACACCTGTGCAAATTCCACTGGAAAAGAAAATTTGGCTGCCAGCATCCATCCATACCTGAGAGGTTTGAATGAGATTATGCTCGGTTTAGGTGTGTAAAGATACAAATCCTCTAGGGTCATTTACAATATTCTGAGTGAAATGTCTCTAAACCCATCAAATGTTCCACTGTGGTACAAACATTCATGTTCCCCTAAAGGTGGAATTATGATCACTCTTGATGATCCCTTATATTTTTCTAAACTTTTACGACTACATTTCCCTGATAAAGGACGCAAGGCACATATAGGCATGTTCAACATGTTTTGCCATTTTGGTGACCACAGATGCTCTTGTGCACAGCCAGACATTACCATGTGCATTGTGGAGGAGAGGTGGAATCAGGGCTGGCTTTAGTTATGTCCAGTCAAACCATCTCCTCTCATCCCCTTTAAGTCCCTGGTCTTGTAACCAGCAACAATTACATAGAATAATTTACTCACAGATGCATCCAATGTGTAAAATGCATGGGGGTGTTGGGGTTGTTTGCATGTAACTTTATAAACATTTCACAATTTTTAAAATAATACACTTAAATTGCTATCACTCCAGTTATGGTGAAACTGAAAGTGGTCCACCAGAGCGCACAGCCAGAGGATGTGTTGCTCACTTTATCTCCACCTACAGCTGCTGTCAAAGCTGATTAAACTGTCATATAACATAGTGAGTGAAAATCATCTAGACAGCAAAAAATATATGGCAAAACAAAATAGTAGGATATAAATATAGTTTTTAGGAGACAAGGTTGATTGATGATGAAGACTACAGCAACAGGTAAATTTGTACCTCTGGATCAGTGAGGCGGGACGGGTCAGGGTATAGATAGAATACAATCCCATCTTGGGCACCTGGTAAGGTGAGACCTCGAACAAGCAGCACCACTAGCATTATATATGGAAATATGGCTGTGAAATAGACCACCTAAGACAAAGCCAAAAGCCAACCTCTGTCACTTTTTAAGATTACATTTTTTAATTGTAAAGAAGAACAGGGCTTACATGAAATCAGACTTTACAAACTTAACATTCTGTGGTACCTTTCCTGTGAACTTCACACCATTCCAGACACAGAAGTAACACAATATCCAAGCAAGAAGTAGACAAAGGGCCAACTCCCAACGAATATTTCCAAGTTCCTCAATTCCACTGGACAGGCCCAAGATCCTCCTCCTGTAATAACATTTATTAGGAAACATACAACAAAAATAGCAGTCCTTATATGATGGTTTATTTCATGATACTTACTCCCAAAATTCTATAACTGAAGATGTATTATTTCCATTAAGGTACAGAGAGGATGTTTGATTGCGACCATACTCAAAACACCCACCTGACATGTTGAAAGGAGAAAGTTTCCAAAAGTGAATAACAAAGTAAACGCAATGCAAAGATGTACTTGTCATAAATGGAAAATCAAGACTTGAAACCTGTGTTCCAGCTGTTATGACAACTTGCCCATGGAAGCTCAGACCTGAAGGATGAGAACAGGTAGAGAAATGTCCAAGCCAGTATGATGATGTAATACACCCCAGCGTACAAAACAGCCATTTGGCTGCCATAACCTAAACCTGTATAGAGACAAACAATATTTAATGTTTGCTAGCATTAGCTAAAATGTCACCATAAGCTAATGGTCATATCAGACCAAGATATAACAGCAAAGCCCCTGAGTGCACTGAATTGAACAAAGCTGTGTTTAATTGCTTAATACATTTCACTGTTTTCTATGATATTATGACCTCATAAAGTTTACAGGCTATGGCTAGCAGGCAAATGCCTGTTTACATAATCAGAAGACACAGGAATATTCATAAAAGTAGTGTCAGTCTGAAAGCCTGACAGATTTAAGTTTAGTTTTGTCTTTCAAGTCCTGTTCCCCCCTGAGGGAATAACAGTATGTGACTCTTTGCTGCTAAATCCTCCAGGTAGATGCTAACATTTTGTCTCCGCTGTTTTGTGCTGAGCAGGTGCAGTGGGACTATTTTTGTTTTCTGCTGTTCCTGGAAACAAGGCTGATGTGGGCGGTGAGAGTGAACCAAAATAGTAAAACAGAAGGAGCCTAAGTAGAAAAACATTTAGCTAAATGACTTGTTTCATGTCAGACAGGGAATCTAAAATCCAGTATCAGAAAAAATGATTTAAGCAGATCTGTCAGACTGAGGAACATGTTCTTAATTACAACTCCTGCATTTACAGCAGAGGCCTTCAGCTGCCATAAGATACACAGATGTACGTCTTCTACATGCAAACTGTAAGCTGTCCTAACAAGTTAGACAACACATTAAACGTTTCTTAAGCAAAGACATCATTAAATTGTCAAGGAAATGGCAATTTATTGAAAATGTCTAATCATGGCTAAATAAACATGCAGTGCACTAATCCTCACTATGTTTCAAAGTTAACAGGCTTAAAAATATACTAGTGCCATAAGAAGCATTATATTAAATTAATTATAACATAACTTTACCAAGTTTAAATGACTGAGTAAAACAACTTTTTATGCAACAAAACAACAAGACAAAACACTGAACATGGATACAGGACATTTACGGAACAATACAGGAAAATTTTACATGTGATTTGTGTTTAAAGGTCTGTTGTGCAGGTATGTTCAGCTATATGTGGAAACTGCTAATAAATAAAAAAGGAAGGGGGGTAAAGACAGATAAAAAATAGAATAAAATAGATAAAATAAAATAAATCATTTAATAAAAAAACAAATAAAGAAAGAAAAGGTGGAGAAAAAACCCAAAACAATCAATCCCGAACCAGCAGCTCCGGATCCAGATGAAAAAAGGCCACCATTATGGAGCCCCAGAGCAGCCCAGTAGGATAGGGTTTGCCAGGTGTGTCAGAAAAGTTCCAGGACTGGGGGTCACAAAAACCTATTACAAAAGATGTATACAAACTACAAGTTTTCCCCTGCGAAGTAATACCCCTGAGCCTAACACACTTTTCTATCCTGGTCCGGCACTCCTCCATGCACTACTGAATGGATTCTCCCAGGATTCTTCGCAGCTCCATCATCATGGCCCTCTTCATGGCTTTCACGCCTGGAAAACAGGTCCCCTTGATGACCCTCTTGAGCTTGGGGAAAAGGAAAAAAAGAAATTACATGGAGCCAGGTCCGGTGAGTGGGGAGGTTGCTCCAGCACGGCATTCTTCTTCTCGGCCAGGAACTGCTGGAGGCTCAGGGTGTTGTGAGCCGGCGCGTTGTCCTGGTGAAGCAGCCATGACTTGTCCTGCCACAAATCTCCCCTCTTCTCGCACACTGAACGAAGCAAACGTTGTAGGATCTCTGAGTTTTCCCAAGCCGGACCAGAAACTTCAGCTGGATTCATTGCTCTGTGCTCATTGCTTGACAATCTAAACTTGAGGAGCTGTCAACAAGAGCACCTGAAAACCCATACAATGGCTGCAGAGAGCTGAGATCACAGTTATACACACCACAGATATTACATCACACGGTGAGGCAACCCACTAATCCCTCCTCCACTCAAAGTTCACACAGCACACTCAGTCCTGGAACTTTTCTGTCACACCTCGTTTAAGTAATATATTTGGTGGCATTTTTATCATTGTATTATATTGTTCATATTTTTGCAGGTGATTAAAAAAACAAGCAAAAAACAAAAAAACACCATGAGCATTGCAAAGAACTACCTTCAAAAAGAGGACAGATTTTCCTCCAACATGTTATTCCACCTTGAGTGGTGTACTGGCCCAGTGATGTTTCCAGAAAGAAGAGTGGGATGCCACACAGGGACAAAAACAAAACATAAGGGATGAAGAAAGCCCCTTAAAAAGAATGAAATATCTTGTTAAAATGTTAATATTGCACAAACGTGGTGAATACAGTTCATAATAATTTGATTACCATATATAATGTGATGACTATATACAGCTGTCAACAGCTATAAGTATTTTAACATCAACAAATCATAGTTGCTTTTCCCAGAGTTTAAGGATTATATTTTTCACCAATGACATTATTAACTATTATTACCAACTATTAACTAAACACAGTCTTAATCCCTGCCAAGGCAACCTACCACAAAATCTTTTGTACATGATGTGCAACTCGCCACAACAACAGGGATTTACCTCCTCCATTTTTGTAGCAAAGGTATGGAAACCTCCAGACGTTTCCCAGGCCAACAATGGCTCCAGCCACTGCCAGGATGTACTCCACTTTACTGGCCCACTGGTCCCTGCCCTGAGGTTTGCGTTGAGTTTGTTCTGGTTCAGTCTCAAGGCTCATCACATTCATTTTGACCTATGAGTTTAGTTTTTGGTCTATTTCATTACAAATATACTGCCAGTGGATTTGTGTGTGTGTTGAATTTATTGTTCATTATTATCTGTAGTCTAATTTTTCATTTACTTAAGCAATAAGGCGCCATACTTACTGTAATGCCAAAATAAATGTTATTGCATTTAAGTAGCAAAGGTTAAAAAAAACAAAAAAACAAAAAAAAAAAACTTTCCAGCAATAATCCACTTGACATGCCAGGAAAAATATGATGATTCTCCAGCGAAAACGATATTTGAACTTTAAGGAACATTTTTTTTAAATTTTAAGCGACAGCTTTGTGGTGCTTGTTCCCAATAATTTCTTTCTTAAGAATCCTGAAATTCTAGCTGTACTTTGCCCTCGACTGGCCTGCTGGAATGTTGCATGTCAGATGCAATCCAAATAAATCACAGGAAGAGGGCAGCTCATGTATAGATTAACATCTCTACATGTCAAAACCAAATTCTCTAACAAGTGATTCCATCAATACAAGTTTATTTTTAACAAAGCCTGCAGGTATCTGACATGAGTTTACCTGTTTTAATCTTCATTGTCAACCAGCTGAGCATTCATCAGAGATCTACTCACCACATTTCTATCCAGACATCAAATGAATATTTCATAAATGGGACCCATACCTACATAAAATACTGACCATGATGGTCATAGAGCTGATTGGTCTGAGGACAGGGCTCCTGGTGGTCACACATACAAGACATGAGTATCACTTTGAGATTCTAATTACACATCTACTAGAGATATTTACACACGTGATTATTTTTTCCAAGATTAAAGTAGAGTTTGATAGAATCTCTACATGATTTGATGGAGTTTAATTAAAATTTTTCTAATCCAAAAGTAGGTAAAGGGCCATTTATCACCTGATTAAAATTGTTACAAATCAGTTGAGGCAGAAAAACCAATGTATGGCTGACAGTATTGTACATTCGATACGTTTTAGTATCACATAAATTCCCATTAGAAAACTAATTATGTGCTTATTTATGGTGTAATGTGCCACTGTTTATTTTACTTTGGTTTTACATATGAAGATGCAGCAAAGGCATCTCCAGATTTAACCACATAAATAACCAATTCAAAGAGTTCCATTAACACCTTACAGAGAGCAAAGCATAAGCTAAGTATATATATAAGATAAGAAGTCAAACCTGAAAGATGCACACTTTAGGTTGAGTTGCTGAAGTGTTTGCTCCTCTGAAAGAAACTAGCTGATGTCCAAGAATACAATTAGGGACATGGGAATATGTTAGGAGGGGCCAATGAAACAAGCATAACCAGTCTTTTCTTTAAGAACAGTAGAAACTAAAAGAACGGGGCATTGCTGTTTTTCTCTCTCTCTCTCTCACACACACACACACACACACACACACACACACACACACACACACACACACACACCTTGTTGTCAATGCCTGGCCTGTTCTAGCATTTTCTGCAGTTTATTTCCTTCATAAGAGGCAGAAACTAGTTCTGTGCCTGTGACCTGACATTTTAAGTACTGTGCTTATATGATGTGTTTATTGTGCAAAAGAGGACCCAGTTTCAGAGGATGCAAGGGTTAGAGAAGCTAAACCAGGCTTTCATGTGAAAACTAACTCAAGTGACACAGAACTATAAGAAAACAGCGAAGAAAGAACTAAACAGAAAAATACGAAACTACTAAAAAGACAAAAGGAAATGCAACTAACAAAACACAGGAAAACAAGCAAACACTAGGCAGCTACACACAACAAACCCAAAAATAAGCTCAGACCTGCCTCATCACATAAAAGAGAGAAGACTAAAGAAACACAAATTGAAGAGGAAAGTCAGAGAGCAGATAAAAACAAAAGCTAACAACAATAGGTACCCGGGGACTCACTGACTAAGCAAACCATGAACCTGTTAAACCAAATACCAGAAGGGGGCAGAAGCCAACAACAAACTGATGGAGGTGGGGTGAATATAAATGATGGGCCAGAGAAGTAAACGAGCAACAGGTGAAAGCAATCAAAGACAATCAGCAGCAGTGTAAAGCTGGGACTGATGAGAAAGCAAGAAACAGGAAATAGTGTTCAAAATAAGAGTACAAAACAGGGAGTTGAACCAATACCATATGTGTGTCTGAAATCAATCCTTACTTAAGATCTAGTGCATTCAACATGTTGTAGTGGTGTCCGAATGTTGAGTGTGAGTTTATCCACTATATAGTGTCAGTGAAGCTGTAAATACGGGTCCTGGACAGAACCAGGAAAAAAAATACAAGAAACAGCAAGAGACACTGGAGGAGAGAGAAAAATTATTAAAATGCTATGGCAGAATGCATAAAGTAAAAAGTTAAGCGTTTAATAAATAAGGATCATCATAAGATGATTTATGTGTGTGTTTTGCTTGAAATAATCATTAGTGAATGTGTAAGAATAAAATGTGAAATGACTGTATTGGAAAAAATGATGAGAAGTGATTCCACATCTAATCTAATCTGAGTGAAAAAATTCTGACTCAGAGAGAAAAAGGGGAGTAAGACACACACCCATACAAAAGAGGAAGTGCACACAGCGGACACACAGCTTATTAAGAAAGTCAAAATGATGGTTTCATTTTGGTAGTTCAAGCAGATGTGAGTTTCCTGTATCTTTATCAAGTAATAAGATGATTTAGTTTTCTGAGAAAGGAGAAGTAGAATCTGGATTAGCATATTGTAGCCTTCATACAATAGCGCACCCAGAAATTCCACCATGGAACATAAAAAGTAGTGTAATAATCCCACAATGCAACGCTCCATGTTTTGTCAGATGAATTATTTTTACGTTGTTCTACAGCTGTTAGTAATGATGCAAAATGTCAATATTAGTGCTCAGAATCTCAATTGACTGTCGAACTACTTTGTGTATTTTATATAGGGAGTAGTGAACAAGTGACTGGGAGTGATTTTGAACACAACCCATGACACTTACAGATAAATAACATACAATGCAATTGCCTTCTTTCAAATAAGGAGGACCATCCCACCTCATAAAATGTAATGAAGGGATTTATCTCCTGTGGTAAAGCACAGTGTACTGTGATAAGCAGAGTCAAGATGCTTTAAGGTGGAGGGAGAGATGTGCATCTATACAATATCACCCCAGTCAAGAGCAGACAGAATAGCTCAGTGCATAATATTCTTCCAACTAGAGAAGCAAGAGATTTGTTTGCATTTGTAGGCATTTTCAATTTCCAGTCAAAGATTTCTCACCTCTATGAGTTAAATTGCTATCAAGTTGCATTGTGCAGCAGTGCCACGTTATGTTACCCATTATACTTCAGTCATTTCAGACACGTTTATTTTCACCTAGTTGAGTTTTTTCCCTTCCTTCTCACTGGTGTCGTGTTGCTTAGCAAAAAAAAAGAAACAAAGCATATAAGCAGAGGATAAGATTTCTCACATTTCAGTGTTCTCTCATTGTTCTCCTAGGAAACTAAATGTATTTTAATTTGTTGTCTAGTGGTTTTGTGGTCTTTTTCATAATTAGGCCTACTTTAGAAATGTCAAGTATGTATGATTATCCAAAGCTACAAGACATCAGTGGTGATTAAATACAAACATTTTCAAATGTAGATATCTTTTTATTTTCTTTTTCTTTATTGCAACACAAAATAACATTTACAGGACAAAGGACAAAACATAGTAGATGAGACAACAGGCATTACAGTAACAAAACAGACAAAGGGATTATTAAATTAAGGTATTAAGCTGTGTGTGTGTGGAAGTGTGTGGTGTGGGTGTATCCAACGCTATGCCTCGGACCCAGGTATCTGGTTTAAGTTAAAAGTGGTTAGAAATGGATTCCATGTGTCAGTAAAGGTTTATATATTATTCTTATGGGTGGGTGTTGTTTTCTCTAGTGTGATATATTCTATGAGAAGGTTGGTCCATTGGTTGATGTGTAAATGAATTTTTAGATTTCCAGTTTAGAAAGATTGTTTTCTTGGTGATAGTGAGATAAGAAGTGAGTTTTTAAATTTAATTGGTAGGTGGTTGACTTCTGTGATATTACCAAGCAGACAGAGTAAATGTAGATAGAGTATCTTTTGAAAGAGCTTAAAGGTATCTAAAAACAAATTGGTGGTTTTTATTCCAGTGAACCCTCCCAACTCACTTGCAAGTAAGACATGCTTGAATGTTTTTACATGTTTTTCTTCAGCATTATGTAACATTGCTATCAACACTATCAGGATATTACAAGACATTAGGTGAAATTTGAGCATTTGTCAAAGGTGCTGCTTCATTTCCATATGACACCCTAATGTTTGTGGCTTGATACACATAATTCTTTCTAATACTATGATGAAATACATGAAAAGCCAGACTGAATGTCTGTGGTAATTCCAGAAGTGAGAACTTGAGTCAAACACAAGTCATAAAACGGATAAATTTAGATTCGACTTAAGAAAATCTGACCAGTGTCTTATGACTTCACTTGGACTTCAGCCCTTTGACTTGAGATGACTTGATATTCTCCCTCTGCCCAAGCACCAGTAGCTAGCTACTGTGCAGGCAGGCGTGAGACGAGCATCTTACAGTCCACAACAGCAGATTATCACATTCAGGCAATAAAGCCTTCATGTAAGTAGAATCCTTTCTTCTATCTTTACAACTACTGAGGATAAACTGCAGGTGTGACCAGACCGTAAACAAGTCTGAACAAATGTTTACCACATGGCTGAAAGATCTGTGATTATTAAAACTTCAAAGTATTTTATTGTTGTACTACAACTTTTTTCACATTAATTTTTAAATGTTGATGTAATTTACAGTGTGTAAAGACACTCCTACCTCTGTATATCTTATTATGTGCTATCCAAAGGTACCATTACCATCATTGATATTATATGAATATTTTGAAGGTGACAAATTTAATATCTGTGACTCAGGACTTCCAGTATTTGAAAAATAATCTGTAAAACGTAGACCACAGCTGTCTTAATATGTAAATTGATTTAATTTTTTTACTTGATTTATTGTCTGCTGTTCATCTCCTTTGCTGCTTTATTACGAGTTGTGATCTCCACTCAACACTGCAGTATTTTTGTCTTTTCAATCAACAAAAGATACTGATACACTAGAGGGAGCT